CTACTATTACAAACAAAAGATGTGCAAGATACTAACGTAACAACTTTTTTATATGGTTATCATCCGGGGGGTTTGTAATTAATGGAGGATACCTGGGTGGAAGTTTCTCTGAAGTTGTTTTCTGCGGTAACTTAAAAACAAAGAAGATAACGCACGCAAAATTAAAATATTGCATGATGTAAAATAATCACATCCGGCTTTGCCAAACCTCAAGAACATACAGATGGGGAAATGACATCTTAAAACTAACCCTTATTACTATCTCATCGGAAAGAAAAGTCATTAAGATATCTTTATAAGAGCTTAACCAGTGTTAACCTCGAAGCAAGCGGTGTGCGCACTCCGATTGCATTGCATTGTGGTAGCGTTATTTTCAATATGGCGGCTAAAGCGGCAGAAATCGGCAGGTTTTGACTGAACATTCCGTAAAAGTTAGGCGGTTTTTTTTTTCCTTACACTATAGATAAATACAATTTGATATATTCTGAATGTGAAGAGTTATTTTTCGTACGTATTTGTCGCTTATTCTCTCGTTCTCAAGGACAAACGCGCACAGTTTTTTAGCATGTAATTTGAGACCGGTTTTTGAGATGGTCAAATTCGTTGTACGTCGTAGTTTGAAGCCTTCCAAAGATTTTTTGAGACCCTTTTATGGAGCGAAAAGCCCATTGTTGCGTTTAATGTGTTGCGTTACATAGCGTTACTACTGTAAAGACATTTATAATATGTACTCTATTGTGTTCAAAATCTACTTTCCTAAGTGAAGGAAAATTAGCTAATCGCGAGTGTTGTGTGGTAAATCTTCCATATTGATCATTGAATGAAGGACAGTTTAATTAGAGCATTAAAAAGAGTCACTTAATCCATGAAAACACCTCAACCTTGCGTGAGGCGACACACCTGAAAGCCGGAAAGCAAAAGGCAGTCGACCGTTGAAAGGCGTTGATAGGCCTGTACGTCTCCTACCACTCGCTAGCGCTTTTAAATCTTCTACCCTCAACGTTTACCTCTTAATAGGATACCTCTTTTGACTTTCCTCAAGGATGTGATAACAAGGGTCAGTTTTGAGGTGTCATTTCCCCATCTGTATGTTCTTGAGGTTTGGCAAAGTCGGATGAGATTGTGTTACAAAAGGCAATATTATCTTCTGTGCGCGCGCTATTTTCTTTGTTAAAGTACACTTCTCTCCTGCAGAAATAACTCCGGAGATACGTTTCTCAAAACCTCATCTAGGTTTCCTCTATTCTCGAAGGGTATTTTAAAACACTGTACGTTTTACTAAACGTGAAAGAAGAGAAATTCTTTCTTCCGAGGGGTGGGGCTTCTCCTTTTACAAATCCCATATTTACGCATGGAGGAAAAAGTTCGTGTATTACGAGGTCTCTATCTCTTTAATATGCGTTTGCATAACAAGGGTCAATTCCCTTTACAATAACCCGCGTCTAGGAATATAATTGTAGGAGTATATATGTAGTAGGATATAAGTGGTAGAATAAACAGTCCCCAACTGGTAAAATAGTATCTAACCCACCCAACTCCCTTAGATTTTTTCCAGGACACCCAACATTAACTGATAGCCCTGTATTTGTACAATCTGGCAATAGCCACTCAGACAGAACCCCCTATCAAAAGATTTGGCCAGCTGGGAGCATTCTCCTCGCACGGGCAAACCAGGTGCTATCGATGTTATCTATGTGTACTGTAAAGTTCTTGCAGTTGCGACTTAAAATAATTGTTTTTTCAATATTTACAAAGCTAGAAACATGAAATGTATTCAACGACATCATTCCATGTTTAAACAGCGAAAAGTACCAAGGACAATCTATCAGTCCTTCCTCTAAATCTCTGGTCTCTGATACAATTCTACTTAAGGCAAATTTATCCCTCTCCATGGCTTCCCTGATTCTGACTGGCTGATCCACTATCATCGATTCTTACTCTGAATATCTCTGGTCGAGTGACCGCGAACTTATTTATTCACTCATGCTAACTTATTCGCTGTCGTTAAGCATGAGTGATGAGTGGACATGCTGGCCAACTTATCTTAGGAGATTAAGCTTTTGTGGTTAGAGCAGTAACGCAAACATGTCCACAAGAATATCACAAAAGTACAACAACGTTCTCAACACTGCCAATCAAACGATCCTGCATCTTTGACTGCCAAAGCCCAAAACACGAACTTAAAAGTTTGGGTCGAAGTACCCCCACTGATGGAATTAGACAGGACGAACACCAGGACACTGATCGCGATAAATTTGCTGAATTGAAAAAAATTTTGACTTTTCAATCAGGAAACCGACATACCTCAGTGACTTTGACTATTTACGGTACGTCAAACAATCAACTTTGGGCAATTATCTCCCTAACAACAGCGTGTTTGTCACGAAATACCAAATCACAGAAGAAAAGAGCAGAAGTTAGCGAGTTCATTTAGACATTTATCGGCAACATGGTGCTGTTGAGCTGGAATTGGAAAAGAAATGAGTTCCTTGCTTTAATTCTCTAACAGGGGTAAGTATTTTTTCTTTAAACAGGCCGAGTTTTAGTCACTCGAACTGTTGTGTTTGAGAAAAGTGAAGTGAAGTCCATGGAACTTGGTTGACACAAAACGAAATAAAAAACGATGGGAAAGTCATCATTTCGCGATTTCTCGAGTAATTTGAAGAAGAAAATGTTTTCTCGTTGCTTGTTTCCCTGGCTCTCAATGTCAGAACTGCGAAATGAACGTAACATTCTTCGTGATGTTTACTTATAAGTGGAAAACTAGTACGCATACCTTACAGTCTTTTGAAACGTTGATAATTCACAACAGGAGGGAAGGAAGAGTGATGTGTCGTGATTTATTTACACAGATTGAAAGGTGATTTCGATTCATGCGAGGCGCTAACTTATCAATGCCTCGAAGTGAAGTTTCATCGAAATTTGCATTCGTACGTTCGATTTGTAACAAACAATAAGAACCAATGGCATTTGTTTTCCTTTTTCTCATCAAATATTTGCTTTCGCTAAGAGTTTATTATGACTACGTCAAAGTCATCAAGCATGAAAAAAATGGTGCACAAATGACCCTTTACGTTGTGGTGAAAGAAAAAGTTAATTAATTTTACGACTCAGAATGAACAGAAACTGAAGTTGAAGTAGAGAGTCGATGAATTTACATTTTATTGTTTATCGATTTCAAGGCCGGAAATTAATTTTAAAAGAGTTTGATTCTACGAGAAATTAGTCAATGTTTTGATGTCCATACTGACATTTAAAAAAAAATTGGAAGATCTATTATTGATTCATTTATCCTGTCTGAATATAAACGCAGAGGCTACTTCTAAGACTTGCAGGTATCTCCAACAGGTACGATATCACATTAACGGCTATTATCTAAAAGCGTTGTGATAGATTCCTAGAATTGAAATTCAAAGGACAAGTTTCACGATGACTCAGTGTTAAGTGTCTTCATTTTCAGTTTTTTAGATTTTAGATCTTAAATTGCAAACAATTTCGGCGACCTACGTATGAAGACGTTGGGTGATAGAAACTATTTATTATTATTATTTGTTACTATTTCTTTGACAGAATGGCTGAGAGAAAAGCAATGCCGTCCCTTAGGAACAAAATCGCCTCTGAAGACAATATCCACAGCAGTTTACAATCCAAACTTGTACAGAATGGTCACGTCACGCTACAGACAAACGCTTTTCAAAACAAGCGCAAGATGGAGTTATTTATTGAATGTACAGACCTCGTACAACTGGACACCTTCTCGAGAACGGAAGCCATGTGTGTCCTGTACGCGAAAAGACTTGGGCAATGGAAGGAATACGGACGGACGGAGTCTATACCAAACAACTGCCATCCAAAGGTACACAGTCCGCCAAATGATTTTCAATATTCACTTATCAATCTGTAGCACTTTGGTAACGAGCTAGGGCAAAAAAAAATTGTATTACTTTTATTTACCTTCATTGTAGAAGGAGGAAGAAAATTGAATAAATCATGGAAGAATATCACTCTTCGAATTAAAAAAAAAACGGCCACCTATTTGAATAAGAGGCGGAAACAAAGAAGCCCCACGCAAGTATGAGACAGCTATTTTTTTCGTCGCAATTTTCATTTTAGCTGTTTTTAAATTTCATCTGTCAAATTGAATGACGATGTGAATTTTCGAGCGCGTTAAACCTCCTACAGCCATTATCCGGGCACAGCAGTTTATCTAAGAAAACTGTAATATTTCTCAGCTACTTAATTATCTTGGACTTCCAAGACGCGGTGATAACTAGCTATCAAAAGAACGCGCACTAATCCCCCTAGTTAGTTAAAAACTCTGCCTCTTTTAATTACCATAATGTACTTTTTTACTATTAAAATTTAAGACATAACACAAAAGTAAAGTGAACTGGAAAGGTAGTCTTGTGGTTGAATTTACTCTTTTATTAATTCACCTTTTATGCAATTTAAACGAGTTTGTTTAGTTTAAACATCGCCTAGAGTAGGAATCCTTCATTTTGAATGTTAAACCTTCGTTGTTGTCAGTATTTCATCAATGCATATCATTAGGAGGGGATAATCCTTCCCTGGAATCACGTGGACTATAGATCCTGTATTTTTTGTGGCCTTCATTTCGAATGTAATAGTGTATTCTTTAAATAGCTCTCCAGCGGAGGTGATTATATGTTGCTTTGTGCAAACTCTTAACAAGCGATGGCTTGCATTTAGGTTCTGAATTCTTAAGTTTATTTTACACATTCGCGATATTCTCTCTGAATCAAAGCCATCAACTTAACTGGTAAATAATGGTTGGCTGGGGAAAATACAGTATCTGTTGTTCTGTTCTGTATAAAACTCACCGCAAATAGCTGTGTTTTTTCATATCTCTCAATCGGCATTAACAAAGGGATATAAAGCCGTATTCAAATAAGTAACATTTCTTTGGAAATTTCACTTTCTTAGGAAAAATTCAAGTCTAATACACTTTTCAAGAAACTGACTCGCCACTGGAAAAGATTCTTTAGTTTTCGTTTCCTTGTCGATTTATTTTTTCAAGTCATTCACGCCGGCAAATCATGGCTCCCGCGATAATTTTTTAATGAACATGGAAATTTGATAGGCTATAGCACTGTTTTATCCTCACTACCAAAAATCTTGTCAAAAAAAATGACGTGTGAATTCGACCATTTGTGGGTACGAGTTCACTCCGTTTTGCCAATACCGATACCCAACCTCTCTCATTGATCCCCTATTCCCTGGTTATTTCTCCCTAAAATTTTCAACGGTAGTGCTTCAATCTCAGTTTCACATTAACCCGGCCTTGATCCTCTTTTGCTGTTTAGAGTCTTAAGAAAAAAAACAAATAAAAGACGAGATCATAGAGAATGAAATTAAACAAACCGAACAAAGTCTAAAAAAGACGATGCTATTTCACCTGAAAAATGTTTACATGGCTGAGCTAACAGAAAATTACCTTTTGTTCATTAAGTTTCTTTTGTTTTAAGTTTTGTATTTTTTTAATTGCAAGATCTTTGAGGGTTACCTTTTTATATCATGATTTTATTATGTGGTATCAGTCTCAATGAATAAAACCCATTCCGAAAGATAGTTCTCTCAAAATGTAATGCCGGATCGCATAGGAGAACAGTTGTGACCTTTCGGAAAGACAACATATATATGGAAAATTCAAGAAATGACATTTGATTATATTTGCAAAAGTGTGTCTAGGAGACAAAATTTATGAGCGAGCATAGTGGTCGTTAACTAAAAACTCCTAAAATCAAATTTCCTTGCCTTTTGGAGATGAAAAGAAGAACGTTCGCCTTGAAAAAGACGAAGCGTGGGTAGGTCACGCGCAGTATGGAAAAAAAAAAAAAAACCATATTTCTCGCTGAGATCGATATCTTGCGATCCAATTAACCTTGAATTCCTGATGACGAAAATTTGGAGTCGATGCCAGCCCATTCTTGCTCCGTGCCGTTTCTGTGTTGTAGCTTGGAATGAGGCGAGCAATTTATCGGTTTTGTGGACAATATCATAGCTAGTGGATATAAATGATCCAGATCATTGACGTACAAATACTGTATTTGAACATGTTAATGACATCTTTATTTTTCTTGTAGTTTGTAGAAACATTTATCATTGAGGTGAACTCTACGGTTTATCCAAGGTTACGCTTTTCAGTGTTTGACTTGGCGAACTTTACATCCAAAGATCTCCGTAAACACGATTTTATGGGCTCGCTTGAAATCGAGCTAGACACATTGTTAGAGTCAAGTTGTGGCACATTAATAAGAACACTGCGAGTGCCAGGAGACGTCAAGTCACGTGGTTATATTCATATTTACGTGGACGATGTGAGAGACAATAGAACAAATGTTCGACTTCATTTTGGCGCCAACAATCTGAAGAAAAAAGGTCTACTGGGAAAATGTGATTCGTTCTTTGAAGTTAATCGGCTCCTGCCAAGGAGTAATCACTATCACCCAGTTTATAGATCTGAAGTGGTTACGAAGACGGCGTGCCCCAAGTAAGTGGATTCACGGTGAACTTTTCGTGAGTACTGTGGAACGAGTTTACAGAAAAAGCTCCAGAAAGTTTGTCAAATAATCAGAGAATGTTTCATTCTTCTCTGTGTACTTGCATAATTGATTCATAGCTCACTCATTGTCGGAAGAACGAAAAAGATGATTTAGAAGTGCGTAAAAGGAGGGTCTGGATGGGGGGCGGGGGGGTACAAATGTCAGTTGCCAGTTAAAATTTCGGCCATTTGTCAGTTCTCAGTGGGATTTTAGGCCATTTGTCAGTTTTCAGTTAAACGACTGTTAATATTTAACTTGGCGAGTTAATTATTACTTTCTGACCCTATTTTTGGCCATAAAGGCACATAAAGTAATTCCAAGATATCCCAAGTGACTTTCAGTCTTTGTTTGAAGGGTGTTTAAGTTAAATTATCACTCTTCTGCACACAAACTTCTGTATGCCCGTGCGCAATATTGAAACATTTCTTTTCAACCTCTTCGCCGGTCAAAATGTTCGAAAGAAGAATTCTTCAGAAGGAAAACAAACTTGTGAATAGTCCTTGAGTACAATATTATATTTTTATGTTTTGTTTTATATTGCTGGATTGCGATTGACTCCGATGAAATAATCCTGCGGAAAGGAATGTTCCTTTGTCTACTTTCCAGTTAGATTATTAGAGATATCTACGGTAAGCTTATCTTAGAAATCCAAGCGAAAATGGGCGCGAATTGGTCGTCTTCTGAGTCCGTGTCATATTCGCCTGCATATGTTTGCACCTCAGCAACTTCCACTTTAACGATACAGTCGGCTCCTTCGTCGCTGCTGAGCCCCACTGGCTGAAAATCGTTCCCTAACCCGGCTAACAAGTCCACTTTGGTGGAATCTTGTTGCTTCGTGTAGACGGCCGGTGGTAAAGCCCCTTCCTTGTCCTTCGTAGTTTTCACCCGAACTGTCCTTTGCCTCGAGGGACGTTACTTCTCCGCAAATTCTTTCATAACACTTTCAGTCTCGGGGTTGATTTCTTCTGAAGGGAGAGGTCGCATAAAATTGACATTTACAAACTCCGTGCTGGTCTGAGGGACAGGATAGTGGGATTTTTTATGAGAAAAATACTTGGCTGCTCATTTTGTTACTCTCTTCAGCGACTCCTTGGTAATTATCCCAAAGTCTTGAAAACAATGCGGTGAAAGTCTCATGCTTAAAATGGGAAACTGCCTGTAGATTCTCCACAGCTGTTGTGAGTAATGTGCACAATTCAATGTCTTCGAGATAATCGTTCAGTGTTAATTGAAACTATGCTGTTGTGCAGGCGGCGCATTGCTTCGAGAAGTTTAAGTGAGACTCGAGTTTTATTAGACAAAGTTTATTTAGGGTCATTGGTTGCTGTGGTTTCCTTTATACTATACCTTTGTTTCACCTCAGAAACGGTCTTTGCGATGTTTTCATTTACATACGATACTTTGTCTGCGGCATCTTGAAGAGACATGTGTGCTTTCTCTATGCTTTGGGTTCTGAGACCAAAACTGTTCTAGAGACTTCCAAGGACTGTAAAAACGACACAGTACCACTGAGTCCCGATGCTAGTTTAAAGCAACCTGTAGCAACATTCGATACGAATAAAGTCTTCTCCTTAGAACAGATGCCACAAACTTGCGTATAAGGACACGTTTCATCCGTTCCATCACTTCCTGCTTTCTGATTAGAGCCCATCAAGGTTTTAACGCTTTTCTCAGAAGGACAGAGTCTCCTGTCTTCAAATTCAAAGTCTTTTGATTTCCAGCTTTACAAGCTTAAGACCCTGAGTTGTTCTTTGGAAGTAGTTCAACTTCTAAGCTTGAGAAAATTCGAGCCATGTGGAAAAGTTCAACATCAAAATCTCCTGGGCCATATTTACTGGACAATTCTGTTAGACCGGGGAACGAAATAAGGTGCTTTTTCAGCGCCAGTGCGGTGTTTACATCATTGATAGGAATGCGGCTTCTGTGACGCTCAAATGGCGTTTCCGAATCAATTCGATAAAAGCTTACAATAGCTTTTAATATACCAGCATTGATAGCCATCGCGAAAGTTGACGATCGAATTGGGTATCAAAGGTAATAGACCCGATATGTGACATCATGACCATGATGTGGATGGTCCATGCGGTGATTATTAACGAAATATGACACTCTGGCGTACTCCTACTGATATGTAATAAAAAAAACCTACTTTTATTGGACAAAATATATCATCTGTCGTTATTTTATATCCAGTTTTTAGGATATTTAGGGCGATCCGGTCTTTTGTAAGCTATCAGTAAAACCTACTACAAAATTACAGTTGTCAGTTAGATTTTCAGCGATTTGTCAGTTGTCAGTTAAAATTTGGCCAATTTTCAGTCGTCAGTTAACCCCATCCAGACTCTCTAAGAGCGGACTTCATTCCAAGAGCAGAGGTTAGACGCACAGTCGCTCTAAACTATGGAAACTGGGAGAAAAAATTGAACCATTCTAGCCATGCAGGCCTGGGTTCCAATCAGAGGGCTACTTTTGCCAAGGGTGGAGGAATTGAAAGGACCCGGCTTTATCACTTTCGCGGCTATTTTAGACGGTATAAACAGCACTCTGGAGTGTGAAAAAGGCCCTCAATGGGTACTAAGCAACATTCCGGGGCGGGGTACTTGCTTATTAGAGCTTAATTAAAAGTAACAATCTCACAGTTAAAAGTCATTGTAAATGAACAGATAAATCGGTAATTTAGAGATAAATCATCATAGGCGGACTTCATGATATTTAAAATCATTACGGTAGTTGCAAATTTTCCTTTGCGCTGTAGAAAACTCTCTTGACGTTCTCTTTGGTTTACTTTCCCTTTGCATGTTACCAGTATTTACCTCCCTTTTTGTCAGGTGGGCGCCGTTGGATATCAGTTTACAGAAGTTGTGTAATGAAAACATTGATGGACAGCTTGTGTTATCATGTTGGCATTTCTCTAACAGTGGCAACCACAAAATGGTGGGAGAGGCCAGATTACCTTTGAATCTTCTTCTTAAGAGGTAAACTATGAAGTGATGTGCGAATGTTGATAGGAAAAAAATATGAAAGGAAATGTCTAGTAGCCGGGCGGTAAATCCACTCCTTAAACTGAACTAACCCTACCATCATCACTGCCCTCTCTCACCTTTGAAGAACCTTCTCTTATTCAAGGGGAGAGATACGTCAGACTTCGGTTACTTATGCAGTCCTTGCCTCTGGTTTTAGATCGATGACACAGTGGCTCTTTCTTTGGGATGATTTTCTTGTTGCAGTATTTCATTAAGATATGTCACTTAGTATCACTAGTTCAGTATTAACTGAAACAGTGTTTAGAACAAATATGCAGTTTTAGTGACAAAAAATGAAGCTAATGTCAATTGCATAAACTAAGTTTTGCTTTAAGACGCTCCACTTTTTAAGTCCGGTAATGTGGAATTTTTACAGCGTAAAGGACTTATTAGCAACTTATGGAGATAAAGTGCGTACGAACGGATAACGCAATCTTGAATCCGCGAAGGAAACATTTTTCGTTTGAATTTTATTTGTCTTGCTAAGGAGCCTTACAAGAGGAACAATGCTCGCAAAGAACATCATTACTCCATACACGGCTTCCCCCCCAGGGTTAACTTCCTTAAGTTTGATATTTCTATAATTTGGTTGTCTCCTTAGAGAAGTCAAACAAGTGGATATAGTGAATCCGAAAAAGCAGATTAAAAATAAACGCTATTCAAACTCTGGAACTCTTCGTATTCTACACTGCAATATGGATAAACAATTTAGTCTTATTGATTACGTCAGAGGAAATTGCATCATCAGAATGGTATGCGCCATTGATTTCACTATTTCCAATGGACCCCCTTTGACCCAGGATTCCCTGCATACGAAGGACTTGGAGAAGGTGAGAACGGAACGCATGCAAGGGGATTTTTAGTAACTCATACGATAAGAATTGTGCACCGGTGGTAAATGCCTATTTTTGGTGACAACAGAACGTAAGGTAAAGAATAAGAAAGACGGTAAGTTTTGAGCTCGGTAAAGAAATATAGAAAGATGTTTTTCGTCTTGTCACGAGCGTGGGACATGGAAAAAGGAAAAATTCTGAGTCCCCATTGTCTTCCCATCAAAATAATGTCACTTTTGGTTTGTGCGACATGTATACAGTGTTTATGCTTTTCTTGCCGGGAACTTGAGTAGGACCAGCCATAGGTATTTACGTAATCTTATCAAACAGGATTTTTCCATGACTGAGAGCGGGGACCTTTGACCAAATTAGTACGACTCGGTAAATATTTCGTCATGACAAAAGACTTCTATCTGTGATTTGTTTAGAATGAGTATTCTCACACCCTGAGATCAATAGGAAAGGTTTTATCGAGCTTCGAACAAGATAAGAAAATTGCAGCGTATGGATTCGGAGCCCAGGCCTGCTCGACAGGAGAACTACCTTATATGTTTGCTCTTGATAGAGAAAGTGGCAAAGCTGAGCTTGAGAATGTAGAGGTACTGATATGAATTTTTACTATTTTGTTTGTGTTAGCATACTTGTTTCAGCTTCACCCAGTTATCCAATCATTCATTCATTCAGTCTGTCAGTCAGTCAATCAGTCAGTCAGTAAGTCACTCGGTCAATCGGTCAGTCAGTCCATCAGTCATTCATCGAGTCCACCGGCCAGTCAATTGATCAGTACAGTAAAGGCGGCCAGACAGTCTGTCAGTAGATACGAAGGCGAGTCTGTCAGTCAGTCAGTAAGTCATTCCCTCGCTCAAAAAGTCAGTCAACATGTCAGTCAAAAAATGATTTAGCTTATCGGCGCAGTCATCCAACTAGTAAGTCAGCCAGACAGGAATTCAGACTGTATGTGTGTCGATGTCAGTATACGTATTAATGGAGTTATCTTCCTTCCCTTGTGTCAGGCTGTTGTTGACGCCTATTGGAAAAGACTGGAAGACGTCAAGTTGGGTGGACCTACCCACCTTGCACCCATCATCCAAGCAATAGCAACATACGCCGAGAAAGAAATATCCCAGTGTGCTCAGCACTACACAATAGGACTGGTTATTGTTGACGGCATTGTCAACGACGTAAATCATTTAATAGACGTGTTAATTGAAGTGGAACAGTTGCCTCTTTCAATAGTTGTTGTAGGCGTTGGGCCCGCAGATTTTCGATTAATGGTAAGCGATTTTCTCCTGATTTTATTTCAGCTTGTAAAAGTTTTGTTGAAAAAAATATTTGAATACTGCTCATAAGAGCGTAAGAAGCTTCATCCGAAAAACCCTACTGTTAACGAGAGCAAAAAGAAGGTATCCAGAAGGAGGCCAATGAGACTATAGTTAAAAGTTTGTCCATACTTAAAATGATTCTCCAATGTTCCTCTTTTTACTTCTAGAATGAACTGTTTTCAAGAAATAGGCGACAGCTAAGATCTAAAGAAGGAAAGAAGACAGCAAGTCGCATGAACACAGACTTTTTGTCTCTGAGAAGACACGCTGCAAATCCAGGAGTCAATGATTCAATGGTAAGTCTTTTTCACTCAGAGGGTTTGCGATGTTTAGCACAATGCACAATAGCTATCTCGAAAAAAAAAAGGAGTGTCTATGGTAAAGAGAGCAACGGCAAATATCTAGCAATGGACGGCTCGGAAAGAGCCTCAGGATAAAAAAAAGTAACGAAAGAAATCGTTGGGTTTGGTTGCCGGTCTTATGTCTCGATAGGCAGCTCGAATTCTTGTTTAAGATCTAACTCAAACAGCAAACCAATTACTTAACGATTAAAGGGGTGTGGTGGTTCGTAAATGTCACTTTAGTTGAAGAGGGTAAAGTAATAAGCGAAGGTGAAAGGAAGTGAATCATTTTGAAAAATTGATGATATATTATGATGGCTTTATATCGCAAAATCGTCGTTTTCTTTTGACATCGTATCTGAATTTCGTTTTTTCAGGCGCGAGATGTATTTGCAAACATTTCACAACAAATTGTTACGTTTTTCAAGTCCAGAGGGATCGTTCCCAACCTTCCAACGAAAATGAACGTTAAGGAACCATTTGACGACTGTAATAATCTGTCTCAGGCTGATGCTGCATTAAGACCTTCCTCACCACGCGCGCGCAAGATCTCACAGCACATCGCTGCCAGATGTCCAACTTGTGGCTCTGTGATTGAGCGTGACTCATTCAATATGCTCTCCCTGTAGTTAAATTTGAGGATTTCCAAAGATGCTAGGGAAGAACTGTAGGCAACGTTTGTTAAAGCCTTGATTTCTTTCACGATCCTTAGTACGTCACTCCGTCAATCGACCAGACTCACTCTATTCAAAATTATTTTCCTTTCTTTGATACTAGTTCTTGCCTTTCTAGCCTCTTCCAATTAATTTATTTTCATTTTCTGTTTTTCATAAATTTCTTGTGTAAACAAATTATAATTGTAACGATAAAAGCATAATTTATTTAAAGTTAAATCCGCAGTATGCTCGTGTAATGAATTTTAAGAGTTCTCAGTAACGAGATCAGACTAGCTGCTTTTGACCCACCATCATCAAAATTAAACAATAGCGTACTGTACTCACCACAACTATAAATTAAAAAACAACAACAGGAGCACAGATTTCTAATTCCTACTGGTAATTCCTTAAGGAGTTGTACCTCAACTGACTTATGGGAAAAAGGTCAAAACTCTTTAAAAAATTAAATTCTGTTATTACCAGTGGCTTGAGGGTTTTTTTTTTATGGGAAGTTAAAACGGTAATTACACACTAGAACATCCTATTTTTCTGTACATTCAACGCCTAGTAAGTGTTCGAGAAGTGCATAATTCTCCCATCTGTTGGATTTCAGTAATAAAGAGCGCTCTGAGCACGGCGGGGAAGTTGTACCACTTGGTCACCTCAAAACACGAGGGCTTCCTTTTTGGATGAGCAGAATTTCCAATACCAGGACTTCTGGGCGAATAATTCGATTAACTTGTGAGCAGATAACACCTACTTCCCTGAATCAAATTTTATTTAACAGAGACTGTGGGGGGGGGGGTTAAATTTACCGCATTCGCCAAGCTTGCATATTAAATAGCTTCTATTAGGTTACGTGCCGTTTTAGAAAGAACGAAAAGGCCATCACTTTAGTTGACGTAGAAATCTGTTGAAAAGACAAGGAAACAAAATTATCTCAAAGACGACCTTTCAGGATATCGCGTGACTCAATCGCGTCACGATGCCATGTGGCGCTCTCGCGTGACGGATTTCTTCAGCCGTCATGCGAAACTCGCAGTTGCGGTCGGTTGACACTGACTTGCCACCAACCATCACCACACCTGCTTATCGACATGGATGTGCGACAGTTATTTCAAAACCTCAAGAAGGAAGCCGAGTGTCCACTATGTTTGGATACTGTCAAAGATCCCAAGACTCTGCCATGTTTACATTCATTCTGTCTCGTTTGTCTCGATAAACATGCAAGCTATGCAAGAAAACAGCTACAATTTACAATCAAATGTCCGGTGTGCCAGGCTTGCTTTCAAATTCCAGAAGACACATTCGATGGCCTTCCCTCTTCCTTTCATCTCAATCGATTAGTAGATGTTTTAGCACTGGGAAAGGATAGTTCTGAATCCCAGAATTGTGGCAGTTGTGAAGAAGGAAACACCGCAACTCGCTATTGTTTTGATTGCACCGATTTCTTTTGCGACGCCTGTGCTAAAGTTCACAATCAAATGAAAATATCTCGTCATCACCGAAATGTTAAACTCAATAACCTTGAAGCTGAAGATGTTAAGGAGCTGATACAGAGACCCGTCATGTGTGGCGAGAAATACCACGAAAAGGAAACACTTGAATATTATTGCCAAGATTGCAACGCTTGCATTTGCCATAAGTGCGTCATTTTAAGTGACAATCGACACGCTATGGTAGACATTAAAGAAGCTGCCGAGCGACAAAAAGTTCCCATCACAGAGGTTCTTGAACAATCCGAAAAGAAGATTGCTGACTTCGTAAAGCTGATGGAAATGGAGAACGAACAGCTGCAAAAGGGTAAAGAGGAGATTCAGACCGCTCGTGATAAGATGCGAACAACTATCGAACAAATTATTCATAGTTTAAAAGATCACGAAAGAGCAATGGTGGGCAAGTTAGATGATATTGACTATGAACTTGAAAGATGCCACACAACACAACAAGAACGTGTCCAACTGCTAACTGCACATTTAAGAAGTTCGGTAGAATACTGTCAAGCGCTCTTGCAAAGAGACCTCAGTTTTGAAATTCTACAAGCACAGCAGCAGACTTTCATGCAACGATGTAGAACTCTCTTAAGCGAAGAAAAGGTGACTGTGAGAAAACCATCGCATGTAAACTACGCAGTCACTAAGACGAATGTGTACGATATGCTGCGAAATATTCCAGGTCAAGTGGTTACCAGTTATGCTGACGCGTCATGTTCTGTCGTAGAAGGAAGAGGTTTAGAAGAAGCAGAAATAGGCAGAGAGGCGAACTTCACAGTAACAACCAAAGATTCAGAGGGCAAAAAATGGTACTGTAAACACGATCAAGTGGAAGTTGTAATCGAGGATGAAGTTTCGAGAGAAATAGTGTCAAACGTAACTATAAAGGACAAAACAGACGGAGAATATTTTGTGACATATACTATTGGTACAGCTAAGGAATATAGTATGGGAATCACATTGAACGGTCGACCCCTTACTGGCAGCCCTTGGCGTGTCCAAGGGTCTCCTCATTGGTACCAATCAGCCTACCGGTTCGGGTCCCATCGCTGCGGTCAAATAATAGCAGTTAGCAATGTAACCGGGGCTGTTGCAGTGACAGACAAAGACCAATACAGTGTGAAGCTGTTCAGTTCTAATGGAGAATTAATCAAAAAGCACGTCTTTGAAAACCATGACGGCAAACCCACTTCAGTAGCTTTTACTAAATCTGGTGATATCATTATTGTTCATGCTCGGAGGATTTCTAAGTTTACTGGAGAACTTATCTTCACTAAGCGAATTGTTGATAAGAGCGTGAAGAATTTTTTGCGCCTGTCTGTTGCAAACGATGACAAAATGATCGTGACAGACTTTGAGGAGAAAGCAATTTATGTTCTTTCCAATGATGGGGCAGAAGTTGTTCTTTCTTTCACTGCACCAGAAAGTAACCTTACTCCACATTTAGCTGTTTATCATCAGGACCTGTTCTTTGTGCTCTTTTGTTGGCCACATTGCTTAAAAGTGTTCAACAACGACGGTGATTTTCTCTATGATATTGGCACTGAGGGATCCGGTGATGAGAAATTACAAAAACCCGTAGATGTTGCTATTGATAAGTACAACAACCTAATAGTATGTGACAATGGTGACCAAAAAATCAAAGTCTTCACTTTGGATGGAAGCTTTCTGAATTTGGTAGGGCAAGATAATAAAAGACCCCCATCATCAGTCGCTACTTCTAGTAATGGTTATTTCTTTGTCTCAAGGGACAATGTTGAAGCTTTTTTTTAAGCAAGAAATGACTTTCACATATAATCTACCTGCCAATGAGGCAATGGGGAGGGATAAAGATGTTAAATTTGAGGACTTTTAGGATACAGTTGTTGCCGAACAGAGCACACTTTACAAATGATTCAAATTCCCCGACCTCCCTCAATAAGGGGGTAAGGCAAGGGGTTGCACAAACTAGGTTAAATACCAATCTCAGAAATTACGATGGTGCCCTACTTTTTTCTTCAATGGCATTCCACCTTCATGAGTGCAGTGTTGTTACAACGAGAATAAGAGAACTCTGCAGATGTAGCACATGTTAGTAATAGAAACTGTACTTTTCTTGGAGATAAAATTACGAACTTTAACACTTCAAGATTTATCATTCATGAGCAGATTTGATTTTTTTTTGTGAAGGAGACTGGGGAGGGAACTAGAAGAAAAATAAGAATGAGTGGCATTCTAGTAAATTGTAGATTTCATGTTCATGTTTTGTGACAATTCTTGAAAACAATGTAACCAGGAATAAAATAATGATGGAACTTCAACTGTATGATGAATAAATAATGATAAGTCTAAGTCCTGACCAACCATTATTATAACAGGCGATAACATGTTTTTAAGGAAAGGGAAGAATGAGTGGGAGAGGGGGTAAATAAATTTGGTTTCTTGGCCAAATTCCAGTTCCCAGCCTATTTTTGTCCACATCTCAATCCCAATTCTTTTTGTTGATAAGAGAATGCCAGTTCAAGTGATCCCAATCCATTCCTCCCAGTGGAAAAGACTCCCATTCCCAGCCTAATCTATTTGAATGAATCTATGTCCCTGGTCCCATTTATTGCATCAGGCCCTTGCAATAAATTTGATAAGCTGCCACTAACAATAATGCCAGACTCTCTTTGTTCAAAATTATTAAACAACTGATACAGACCATTAACATAGTCACAAATACCTTACTTTTCTCTTTGTCCATTGAGTAAAAGGAACAGACCACAATGTGGCAAAACAATAGCCCTTTTCCTCTCTCATTGTTTATTTGTCTATTTGTTTACTTATTTCTAAGTTCTTTTTTTTTCTCCATACTGATTAACATAAAGCCACATTACACATCACTATTCATTTCTGAAAACCCTGCACCTTGTCCCTCAAGAATTGGTTCCACTTCTATTTTTTCCCCTGTCTCTTGTGTTTCTACTGCACTGCGTAACAATCGAGGGCCAGAAACTGCAATTCCCACTGCACCAGTTGGGGCCGTAAGGAGAATGGACAGCACAGCTATGGTTAAGATCTACAGGGCAGTTGAAAAAGCTGGTAAAGATGAAGGACACTTGACCAGACTGAGTTTAAATTCTAAGTTTGTTTTGAAAATTGAAAGAAACTACGCCTTGTGTTTCTCCCTACACCTCTTTCATGCTCTAGATAGCTGTTTCCTGCATATTTCACAACAGAACAGAGCACAGTCAAGGCTTCTCAATTTTTTAAGTGTGAATAACAATAATAATAATAATAATAATAATAATAATATGATCATTGATTTCATAAATACGCTGTAACTTTACCTTAGTTTACAAAGAGACAGTCGAGGTACTGTGGTCATCAGCATGACTTGTTTTTATATAAAAAGGAATTGAACACAGGGTAGAGCTACAACAACATGGAAACCACTAATAGAGAGTAAATGTGAAAGAGCAAGTGGTGGCTAACAAATAACAATTCTGCCAAAGCAGGTGAAGGAAAAAAAGAAAGCCTCATCATATATGACTACTACAAAGAGGAAAGGCAAAGGCTACAGACAACTTCATTTAGGTTCCCCATTGTTGCCAAATACTGACAGAAAAAAAAATTGTACCTGAATTCCAAGTTCCTCTTGATGCATTCCAGTAAAACCTCGCTCCCTTGCAATATCCAGTGACACTGAGCCAATGGCAGCCTAGAAAGAAGACATGTCAAGGGATTCTGTTACCAGAATAGAGTACTGGTGTTAAATTTGACTTCATATATGTAGGAAGTACAATTAACTTTTCAAAAGTTATTTCCTTCCAATTTTACCTGCACAGTTGCCTTTGGGGACCAAGCTATGGCTACAAAAATCTTATCCCTTACGCTGAGATTGTTTCCAGATACAACAAGGAAAGTTATGATCAGTCTAATGACCATTGCTATGGAGAGTATACCAAATGCTTTCCCTGAAATAAATAAATAAATAAATAAATAAATAAAGAGAAACATGCAGAAGACATGTGAGAGAAGCTTTAACAACTCATGAGACCTACAGATTGCAGAGGCAGACCACAAAGGCACTCCCTAACTATAGATTATAACTAGTAGGAAATATTCAAAGACATAAATTAAAAAGGATTAATCTTGAGTCCTTTAGAGGGCAAAATTTCTGTAGGAGACTGCCAGTGCAACCTTGTCAGTAAAAGATACATGTACCTCCCTAGCAATCCTTATAGGTGTTGTTTTGAAGCCAACCTGGAGTTTGACTACTGTGATAAAGGTTAACAGGGACCTAAATTGTCACACCTAAAATGCCTCTAGAGGACCTTACTGACTGATTGTGAAAAAAGCAGAGAAAATAAATGCAAGATAAGATGGTGGCATTTGACAGTGAGAATCAATTCTTAAAAACTTGTGAGCATTTATCACAAAAAGTGTGTTTGCAAGACTTACCAATGACTGTGCTATTCATGTATTCAATACTGACTTCTGCACCAATTAAACCAAACAACAGAGGCTGAAAGAATTCCCACACTATAGCCATAGCATCCACAATTGGAGCCTGGAAAAATAATTACATGTAGCTGTAATAAATGCTTACCTTACCATACATTTCTTCAAAATATATAGACAGACAGTGAATAAAAAAATTGAAATCACATTAAATAAAATTAAGATTTCCAAGTAGGAAAGCAACTTTTTTAATTGAATTAAACACAATGCTATTTGATTATAAATTTAAGAAAGCGAACCAGAATGACAGTGTACATGTGTGTTGTTGCCTTGGTTGATTTCAACTCTAACAAAAGCTTGATACTGTATGTACTGTGCACCAACCTTCTCAGTGTCTCCCCAACCATATGATGCCACAGTAGCTAAAACAAGAACACCAAGGGCTCCTGCTCCTGAAAACTGAGCCATATTACTGCCAAACACTGAAAGCATAGCACAGCCAAGGAGAATCACAAATCTATTGTGTGACCTGTCTTTCTGACAGAAGAAAAAATTTGGTGTAAATGACAATGATGCAAATATTTCTCAAGAGCCATATCAAAGTATTTTCTGCTTCTTAGGGAACCATAAATTATAATACACAAAATAATATTGTGCATATTACACATACTTCTGTAGGTGTGTAAATGGTGACATATATGGTATAACATAAAATGTAGTTACATATGATGCACGATCCTCGCAGTAGATAGCGCTATTTAAGCAATAGCGAAAATCAGACCTGAAAAAAATCAGGCCTGTACGGGATTCGAACCACTGACCTCTGCGATACTAGTGCAGCGCTCTACCAATTGCGCTAACAAGCCAACTGGGAGCAGGCCGTTAAGCTGGCCTGCTCCCAGTTGGCTTGTTAGCTCAATTGGTAGAGCGCTGCACTAGTATCGCAGAGGTCAGTGGTTCAAATCCCGTACAGGCCTGATTTTTTTCAGGTCTGTTTTTCGCTATTGCTTAAATAGCACTATCTACTGCGAGGATCGTGCATCATATGTATCTAATACCACAGTACAAAATATATGAACTTCATATATTTCATTGTATCTCATAAAATGTAGTATTTTCTCCTTTGAATCAGGCTATAGTTTTCTTTTTGTAGGTTGAAAAAGGACTAATTGTCTAAAAAAATGAAGTTACTGAGTACTATAACCATGATCAAGATAGTTTGAGAATAGATATCAAGCTGAGATCCCGCATCACGCTGACATCAGCTTTCACTTGCACTCAATAACACAACATTTCTGCTATGTAGATAGTGGTGAGGAAGGATATAGGTGACCGATTATAAAATAGCGTCACTCTGTTTCTGTCTGTGTGTAAGTACTTTACCTCAGATTTGTTTGGTAAGAACCAGCACAAAATTCCCACCAAGCTTCCAAATACAGCACCCATTAGCAGCTCAATAGGACCTCTGAAGATGTTGAACACTATGTTTCCTACACACAGTGTATAATCACACACATTAGTTACAGCAGTATCAATTACCCAAACACACACCATTATGCATTTCTCTCTCAATTCAAAGCTTCAACATCCTCCCCCCCCTCTCCTTTATGGGTAACCCTCTACCTACTAAAGCAAAAATTGTATGCAAGTATTCCACCCAATTTTTTTGTAAAAGGTTAGGTCAACAACTGCGACTTTCTACATATTGACCAAACTTTAAAACTTGGACCTTGTAGACCTTTTTTCTAAAGCCATTTGCTGACGAAAGCAAAATATTTCTATTAAACACCTCCAAATTAAGAGATAAAATACCTGGATCCTGCTGAAAAGACTTGACACTTCCAGTTCAAATTCTCCACCTCACCTAGGCAGGCAAGGGGGGTGGGGGGGGGGAAGGGGATTGGTGTTGAAACTTTGAATTGATCCTTACATTATGGGTTAACTGCTTTTAATTAATAAAGACAAACTCCACTCAGATGACATTACTCCAAAGCACATGTAGAAACACTGTAACAAACCTTCTGAAAATGCAATTCCAAGAAAAACTCCAAACAAACTTATTGCAATGACATCATCAAATGATGATGCAGCCATAACTAAAGTGGGAATTCCCTGTTCAACCCCAAAACCTCTCTGCTGCAAAGTGAGAAGCTGGGGAACTACAACTGCTGGTGTGACAGCACCAAGAACAAACCTAACGGAAAGAAACTCACAATTAGCAAACAATAAACCAACATAATTTAAAGATAAAATACCCTAACATTAACTCAGTAGCCCCCTTGCTAGAGTTTATCTAATTTTCTTTCGAGAGATCAGACCACAAACTAGGTGTGTCACTATTCAATTACACCCACACCATTTCTGGATTGATTATGTACTTAACCCTTTAACATCCAGAAGTGGTCCCCCTGTAATATACCGGTATATATTATAGAGAGAAGTTACGTGTGGATGTTAAAGGGTTAAGTACACAATCAATCCAGAAATGGTGTGGGTGTAATTGAATAGCAACACACCGAGTTTGTTTTTTCTGTTTTACATGGTGTACATATTTTAATTCATTTGTTAACTAGACAGGGGTACATATAAGAGAGATTATAAATCACATGCCCCATTATCCTCTGTTGCACTGCACTTTGCGTTTCAATTAATGTTTGATGTACAAAAACATTTTATGCCTTTAAGCCTTACACCCTAACAACAGTATGCATATTCTCCATACTTTTTTGCGTACAATTCCTAAGGAGGTGAAAAGGAGAATTCTTTTAACAATTAAGAGCTCCTTTAGTTGGTAATCATTTCTTTTATTTTTGTGACCTTAATCGACTCAGGGGTGATAATGTAGGGAGAAATCGAATGCTAATCACCCTTTGGGGTTAAAGAGCTTAAGAGACATTTATGGGGCTCATCTAGCGCTCGAAAATCGCTGACTCTTACCCAAGTTGAAACCCCCAAAGCCAAGGCATGTCTAATAACAGTTTACCAACAACAGCCACTGTAATAGCCTCTCCAATACAAGGGGAAAAAGCCAAGCGTATTACAGTGAATTTAAGCCGCCGCAAAGCTCCCGGGTCGAGTTCCAAACCCGACCGCGTAAGAATAACAACGAGTGCCATACTGCGCAAAGTTGAAGACCATTTCTTGTCAATATGGCGCGCAACATTGATCCCTGGCACATTACGAAGAATAAATCCAACAACAAGCATCCCCAATAGCGAAGGAAAAGTGTTTTTAGAGAGTTTTCTTGTTAAAAAGCCACCAAACGCGGCAAGCACTATCACGTTGAAAATTCCGAAGATGTTGCCTCCAGGTAGAAGCTCAGCGCCAAGAATGGACCACAAAACTGCCCAGCTGAGGATAACAATTAGAACGCGAGTCAAAGTTTGTCCAAAAAAACCCGAAGGAGGGATATAAAGTCCAATAAATTGTAAAAATCTAGCTCTTTTGCTTGTTATAGCAGCTTCTTGGTCGCGAATTTTCAGGTCACTTTCGTCCGCCATGATGAAAATATGCCTTCAAATATTGTCAGACATGACGTGATAGACGCTACTTTCAGCAGCAGCTGACTATCTGCAAACGGTGCGAACTCAGATAACAAAACAATCGCCCGACATGTTGTTCACGTGATTTTTCAATCCCGTTGTCAAGATGGACGCTGTAGCTCGCGTAATTAAAGTCCAGCTCCCCAATTACCTGAGATCTCTGCCGATCCCTTCCACATTTGGCGGATTTCTAAAGCTTTCTGGCAATGAATGGGTGCGGCTCGTACCACTGGTGGTCACAACTTCTGTGGTTGTGTACCTCGTAGTTTCAGCTCTGGTTCCATCGAAGCCGAAAAAAGAACACGAGTGGGTGAACAAGACGGTAGAGAAGGAGAAGGAAAAAGTTGCGGATACATTTCAAATTGAAGACCTAGGAGACAAAATGGTATGTTGCCGTTGCTGGAAATCGAAGAAGGTTAGTGCATACAGAATACCATAACCAGTTGTAAGTGGTAAAAATTAATTGTCTTCTATGGAACCTTTTGATCTCTACCCGCCCCTCCCACGGGCATGGAAATGGGGTTGAGGTGGGAAAAGGAGGGGAAGGGGTTGGGTGAAAACCAGATGAGAATAAATCACATAGGTTTTTCATGCAAGCTCATGCGTCATAGCTTTGGAGTCGTTTACCCATGACCTTGTGCACATACTTTGTGATTTTTATTATTCTATGATATTTGCTAGTTATAGAAGCTCTGTGCGTGATAAGTGATTGTAACTAGTGGGAAACAAAATAAAGCTGTCAGGGCTCCCAATGCAGCTTTTAGTCAAAGGTAGTGTTTATTTCAAAATTATATTTTGTAAATCACAGACAAAATTTACATCAATAATTACTGAGTATTATGTAGGACATTTTTTTATGTGGTTTGCAATATTTAAAACAGCAGGGGATGATGTAACTTATTGATTTGTGCTGTACTTAGTATTTCTTCCTAGAATTCCCTGATAAACACTGTATCCTTCTGATTGAGTGTGGCATTTACCAGAGAGTGGCTTTTACTAGTAATTTTGCTTGTGTCAGAAGTATTGAATTGAGGGTGGCATTTAATCAATTAACCCTATGCACCTCAGCATCAGTATGCATATTCTCCATGCTGTTCTCTATACATTTCCAAAGGTGCTGACAAGGAGAATTTGTTTAATAATCAGGAGTTTCTTTAGTTGGTGATCATTTCCTTTATTCTCATGACCTTAATGTGTGATTCAGGGATGATATTGTAAGGAGAAATTAGATGCTAATCCCTCTCAGGGTTTAAAGGGTTTATGTTGTAAGTAACTTAGAAAAAGCAATCTCCATGAGTGTACAAATTTTTGAGATTTTATTTTAGTATGCTCTGTCCTGGTATCCTTATTTCTTTGGTTTGGATTTTCTCATGTAATATATTATCATTTTCATGGGGTTTCTCACAGATGTTTTTAGGATATTATTGTTTTTGTACTATGTTGTATTTGTATATCAGAGTCAACAATCAGTTTACTCTGTTTTCTTTTCTTATTTTTTTCAGTTCCCTCTCTGTGATGGTAGTCACAATGAACACAATAAGGCAACTGGAGACAATGTGGGTCCTATTATTGTCAAAAGGGCAAACCCTTCCTCTTAAAAGAGATTTCTCAATGCCTTAGAAATTGGCTGCTAAATGTAATCTGTTGTGCTTAACCAGCAAGTGGACTCAAGTAGACAGTATCCCAACCTGAAAATTAAATACAAGTAAATGTAAAAGTTTATGTGGATATTTTAGATTTAGTGTGGAGATTGTGTCACGGGGTTAAGTGTAGGGTTTTTTCAAAATTTCATTGTTTGTTCAAAGATCACATTGAATGTATTTTAGATACAGATATTTTGCATTTGAGTAGTATTTCAATTGTAAAGCTACAACTAATTTTGTCAACTGAATAAAGCTGATGTATACACATCTTTGTTGACTGATTGTTCCATGTGGGGGGGGGGGAGAGGGGTGTTTTTAGAGCAACATGAAAACATGAACAGAGATACAAGCTTGCCAGTGAAGGCCCCCATCATTTGTGTGGCAGTCCTATGCATGTAATTTACTATATATTATGGCTATAATTCTGAATTTATGATTTAACTTAGAATGTGTACCTTTCGAGGCCAGGCATTAGGGATGTTATGTGTTCAGTTTTGACAAGTTTGAGCCACTGTGGTATTAATCCAAACTCTTAATTCACCCATCCCTTTTTTCCAAACGATGTGTCAGGTAAACCAGGAGCTGATCTGAGAGAAGATAATATTTTTTGGTGAAAATATTATTTGTTTGAAGTTATTTCAAGATAACTATCGTCACTGATTGTTTAGCTTCATTAACCCGCCTTTGTAAAACCTGATCAACGGACGTACATTTGTCCAAGTATGTTGGTACACAAGGGGAAATAATAAGCAACAGACGTTGCATTTTATACATTCTTACCAGTGGTGGATCCAGGGGGTGGGTCTGGGGGGTCAGGACCCCCCCTAACAGACCTGATGCTTTCAACTTTGAAATTTAAATTCTTACATTGACAGGATCGTATATCACTTTTTAACTGGCTGATCTTTTTAATGAATCTAAGTAAATGGTGAGCGACCAAGGAATTATAACGTGCAACCACGACTGGTGGGAGGGGGTGTGGGAGGGGGGTGTGAGGGAGAAGTAATTTGCCTCAAAAGAGTCCAACAGTCCTTTCTGAACCAAAGTTCGGACCGCCCCAATCAAAAATTATTGGATCCTTCTCTTACGGTGCGACTAAGTAATATATTCCGAACAAAATATCACGTGATAGAAGCGCGTTACAAGATGGAAGCCGTTTCACGTATAATCAAAGTGCAGCTACCAAACTATCTCCGATCTCTGCCGGTTCCTTCCACATTTGGCGGATTTTTAAAACTTTCGGGAAAGGAGTGGCGGCAGCTTGCACCGCTTTTACTTGCTCTATCGCTGTTCATTTATCTCGTGATTTTGCGGCTCACTCGGCGGTCAACATCGAAGTCCAGTGGGAAGAGGACGCCTGATCAAGACTGGGTCAACAAAACACTGCAAAAGGATAAAGAGAAAGTTGCTGATACGATCCAGATTGAAGATTTAGCAGAGAAGGCGGCGTATCACGCTTTCTGTCGGTGCTGGAAATCGAAAAAGGTAAAATCAGCCAACAGGCCTTAACAAAGCAAGTTGATTACATATAATTTTGTGGTAAGCTTCAGAAGTTCATTTGACCGTACAAACTCTTGTGGTATTTATGGAGCATTTGTCAGGGAGAATGCGAGCCTTTTGAAAATGATTCGCTGTCATTAATAGCATTTTCCTTCTGCGTTGCGTTCGGCAGTGACACTATTTTAGAAAGCTGCATACAGGGTGTTATATAATATCGTAGCCAGTTTAGACCAACGAGGGGAGGGTGCTACCAACTAATTGGCATTGTACTCGTGTCAGACGAATTTTTTTCTCTGAGCTTGTTATACTTAAAGAAATCCATGGAGGACTCTGAGTTTTAAGTGGCTGGAATGAGAGATTGGAGGTAATTGTGTCACTGAATCTTGAAAAACTCCTTGTATTAGCACTCAAACTATCCATGCAAATGTCAGTCACTTTCAACAGCAACAGTTCTTAATATTCTCAGGACTTACCGTACCTGAATTATCAAGCCACACAGTCATCAGTGGTTTTTTTTTCCAATAATCTTCTGTGTTTGAGAGTTGGTCACCCCAGAATGGTTCACTAGTGGAGATGGAGATGTTAACTTGGGTGATGTGAGACCATCAAGCCATTGCCAAGATTATAGAGTGTAGCATACAAGTTCTGTGTCTAAAATTTTACTTTGCGTCTTTGAATGAATCCAGTCTAAGTCTTACACTTTTTCATTTTTAAGTTCCCAAGGTGTGATGGCTCACATACCAAGCACAACAAAGAAACAGGAGACAATGTGGGGCCACTTGTACTGAAGAGAAAAAAGCCTCAACCGGCGGCAGCAACCACACCTTCATCTTCACAGACTTCTTGAAATTTTGCACCTATAAACAAACACATTTTATGAGTTTATACTGAGTGTATTTGTGCCACAAGGAGATTTTTGCACCAAGGACATGATGCACTTTCTGTAGCAGTTGAACTCTTCCAGAACTGTTAAGGTCTAGCATTTCAATGAATATTAGAACTAGGTAAAATGGGTGAAGAAAAGAAAGATTGAAGGTCAACTCCAACTCCCTTTTTGTTGTAAAATGGAAAAATTGGAGTACTCATTTGTGCAAAAGGTAGATAATGAATACCTGTATTTACATGTAACATGCAGTTAAGAATGAAATTTGGTGTATGGGTATGTTATAAGAAATAATTTGGATATATCAACAAAGTTGAAAATGGTAAATTGGCCACCGTAACTATTACTCAAGCTGACCTTTCGAGCATTAGCCCTTTGTCAGAGCGGGTAGAGAAATTGTGGGTTGTGTGTGCTTTTAATGTGACAAGAAGCCTATTCGGCATCTACAAGGGTGGCAAAGGGGGGGGGGGGTCCAATTGCACATAATGCTGAAATTTTCTATTAATTCACACATCACAGAGAATTTTTTTAACTAATCGTGCATCACATAAAAAGGAGTAGGGTACACATAGCTATTTCTGTAACATTTCAATCTATCAGATGTATTATTTAAAATTATATTGCATCCAACCTTTTTTTATTCTGATATGAATTAGGTTTTGCTTGTTGTGTTGCTTTTTTTTGGACAAATAGAGACCACATATTTTTTGAAACTAGGCAGTCCAAGAGCATACTTGTGATTTGTATCATAATTTTCCCTATGGGTTAGCCCGGGAGAGGACAGCTGACATTGAGACTACCTTCAAGGTCAAAGAGCGTTCATCTAATTAGTTAGGGGTGTAAATCACACACCACCTGCTTGTACAATAACAAATCACGTATCAGGTTGTGATGTCTGGTCCCCCCATCACATGGATAATTTGGGTTCAATCACTTGTCACGCTGCAAATTTTGGGGCCATCACACACCACACAAAAACCCTTTGCTACCCTCATCTACAAGGGTTGAAGTGACTTTATAGGATTCTGATAAAGGAGAATCCTTATATGAGTTTGAAGGGCTGATATTTGGTGGGGTAAGGGGGAGTATCTCTTTGTCCTTGATACCTCTACCATCGAGCAGTGCTCTAGGTCACATTCACACATAAAACAATTTATGGCGAAGGAAAAAATATGATACTTTAATACTTGTTTCCATAAGCCACTTCTAACACCTGGACATTATAGTGTTTATACAGCCTTTGTAAATTCCATATGAAAATCCAGTGTTCTATCTAGCTGAAACCCTCCAGCTAATACCTTGTTCTTTCTCAAAAGGCATAATGGGAGGGGGGCTGGGTCCTTGTGTCCCCTACCCTCCTTGGTGAGATTTTTTTTCTTTAAAAATAAACCTACCTCTTAATTCCGATGAAGAATATGTCAAATTCTAAGAGTTACATAGTATTCACGACTCAATGTATTTCCAAAAAAGTATCATGTTTAGGAAAACAGTGAGGATGTAGACATGACAGTCAGGTAGCAACCTTGGGAGTGACATAGTTTGACCCCTCCCTCCTTTGTAGTATCGCAGTTATGCCCCTAATGCCCATCACCTCTTTGCTGGATAATAATTGGAGATTGTGCAGAGAAATTCATTGTGAATGTGGGTTTTGTAAGTCAAAGTAAATAGTGTTTGGCGGTTAGTGCTAGAAAGGGTGAAATTAGGTTTGAGAGTTCACAGAAGGAAAATAATGGGAAATGAAAAAGGAGCAATTGATTTCTACATCCTTTTGATAGCATTTTAATTGTTCCCATTTTTATATGACCTATAAAAACCAGTCTATACAATGTTGATGTGCATAATTTTCCTCCACCTAGGGCTACAAATGTTGTACAAGTCCATAACAGGTAAGCATCATGTCCTGTTTGATTAGGTTAGATGCTAGGTTTCATGAGCATGCATTTCTTGCCTCATGGGTGGATCATTTAAAAAACTGAATTGAAGCCTATCTAACTATGGACACTTAACAGTATCCTTTGATATGACACCCCCTGCATCTTAAGAGGGCAGCTAAAGTAATAATGGTTTTAATTTCTGCAGCAATGACATAAGTCTACCTGTTTATACATCTGCACATGCATTGAACCATGCAGTCATTCAAGGCAAAAAGACTTTCCAACCAGAAGAAATTCTTAAATTGTGCCTCCCTTCCATGTCAGTAAACTAAATTTGATAAACTTCCACAGAAAGATTGTGGTTATTGAAAATCGTTAACAGAATATACTTATATAATTCGGTAATTTCAATTGAATGAGGCCTTTTAAATGCTTACAATTTGGATAAATATCCCTAGCTGCCTTTCATATAATTATTTCTCAGTTTATACTCTACAGATATTCGTTTTCATCATATGAAAATCTTGTATTCTACATCCGTAGCACTGAATGCATGTGGAGTAGGCACAAAACAGGCAATTGATCGAACAATATTTGCTGTATTGCTGAAGGAAGAGATTATTTCTGTCCACTCTGTGTATATATTTCGCAAGTCTTGCAGCAAATCTGCCCCCATAGCCTGGAAGAACACCTGTCAAGACGCAGTGCAGCTTTGCAATATTTGGACCGGTCACCGATACACCGATTTTGAGCTGAAAGCGAAAATATGTAATCAACGTTACGTAACCGTAGAAGATCTAACCTTCACTTCCGATACGTTGTTGAAATTAGTCACGCTAGTACAATTCACGCAACTGCGTTGATTTAATTAAAGACGTTTTTCCCAGCGAGAGTTGGGAAGAGTGACCAGTTGAAATGTCATTTAACTATTGACGATCCTTGACTGTACTTCTCCAAGAAGCCACGTAGATGAAAAAAAATAATAATCTAGGTGTAGTTGAAAGTGGCCACTGAGTTCTTATTTTAAAAAGCCTTAGGTACAAATGAAAATTTAAAAAAATAAAAGAGTAGAGAAAAGGGAACAAAAATTGGGCAGAAAAACGAATTTGTTAATGCCGCATGACTCCTGTGGGAAGCCACACGAATAAAACCAGCCGAGTAGGTGTCCCAGACCGTGAAATTCCAGTTACTTCTTCAAAGATGACGTAAGGATTATAGGATAAGTGCTGGGTAAATTCAAAGTTAGTTTTTTTGTCTTTATGCCGTAAACGATCAGTGCACGTCACATGTATTAAAAACTGATGCAATTTAAGAGCAACCTCAATGAAATCTATGAAGATCTGCGCACGAGAGCACAATCGAAACGACTTTGCTACAAACCCACCTGTTTCGGTACTTTTGGAAGGGCAATTACCACTGGATACCTTGATATCGTCTAGTGCTGCGTCACTGGAAAATCCTCTTCCTCGGACGGCCTCAAATATAATCTACAATTAAAAACAAAGTATATTTCAATGCAACCGTAAGTCCGGCATTTTATTAAAGACTTTGTGCTACAGTAGGCTCTTTCTGTTAGTTAATCAATCAATCAATCAATCAATCCTTTCTTTAAACACGTGACACCTAGGAGTTAAGAGAATCTAATAGGATCGATGCGTATGTCATTTACTTGCTAGAAAAATAAGAGATTTTACGAAAGCAGACAAGAGGAAATTCCTCAGTGATGGACTACGCAAGAAGTTTGTTTTGTTTTGTGCTGCAGATTTTTAAAGAACTGGTCTGAACTGTTTGTCTTGCTACAGCTCTTAGCCACCTAAATTTTTGTAAAGTAGCTTCTAGAATTTCTTTCTCCTCGTTTGAGAACTGAAAATTCCTGAAAGGGCTAACTGATCTCCTCTATAACTCACATGCGCCACTGATGCATGTTACATCCATTTAAAACTGATGTAATTAGAACTACTACAATGAAATCTATGTAGTTCTGCGACAAGAAATCATTGCATTTCACCTGATAAGGCAAGGCTGATGAGACGAGAAGTCGCTCATTGAGCCATCCATTGAGTTGGTTTCTCGATTTATGCCATAATCGCCGTTCTCTTCCGGTTTTTGGATTCTTGTAGATTACTCGAAGCGAACCCATGTTTGCCCCATACATATGATACCAGAAGTCAATACACACTCTTTCAGCCCTCACCAAAGGACTTGCTAACCTGGCGCGATAATTTCGTTTCTGTGGATTTGATGCCTCTATGTAAATGTAAAAACCTGCAGAAATCAATCAAGCAGTCAGTCCGGCGTTCAGTGAATCAATAACTCAGTCAGTCAACTAGCCAGCCATGGAGCTAGTCATTCATCAACTGGTCTGTCCTAGTCTGACGGTCCTGAAGTCACGCTACAATATCCAGAGGAGGAAACTGCAAGACCTGGGTTTCGCCTACCAACGTAGATAAACTTCTCCCAAAGATTTTTCCAACCTTAAAACATTACTAGTATGGTTGCAAAAAAAAAAAAAAAAAAGAATAATAAAAGTTTACCTCCGAAATCATTTCAAAATTTCTGAAAAAATCTCTTTACCAAAAATCGCTGACAAATTCCAACTACTTAAAACATTAGAAAGACGTCTACTCGAAATTCAGAGCCATGAGGTGAGGGACTCGCCTTTCGATGTTCCACGGGTGTGATCTTTAGAAGGCCCTGTATTCCTACTTGGTGTACTGCCGTTCCACAGAGTCCAATCAAATTGATCTAGGGTAGATCCTTGTATATTTTCCCAACCGCAAAA